CCCCCCAAAATTGGGACCAGCATGAGCCTCTTTGGTGGGAACTGGGACCATGAAGAGATGGGAAGCTGCCCTAGGCAGAGAGAGAAGGAAAATACCCTGGTTTCTCTTTTTCTCTTCCCTCACCCTCCAGTCTCTTGTCAGCACCTCTCTATTGCAAGAGCTGGTTTTCTACTCGCCACACCCCACATAGAGTATAGGAGGGAAGTTTGAAAAGAAATCTAAGAGCAAGTGGGCCAGGCATGGCACAAATAACTATGTTCTAACCTGTTCAAATCACCATATGGAATATTCTGTTTCCTGGAGAACTCAAACTGGAGCCATAAACTTACCTTGCTTTATGTCCAAAATGTGACACATTTTCTACTTCTTCAGTGACGTTATCCTGCCCTCCCAAAGCTAATGAGGCACAAATACAAGTGCCAACTAGGTGAAGGTGCCTGTCTAAGGGCAAACCCAAGAGATTTTGTATTGATATTGATTTCAGATTTAAAAAATCCCCCCAGTAGTGGGTAGCCTACTTTTATGAAGTGTTTACCATGGCCAGACTCTATGTTAATTACGTGCATAATTTGATTGTAACTTTCCAAAAAGTTTTATGATGCAGGCACTATTATTATCTGATAAAAACAAACAAACAAACAAACAAACCACAAAAATTAGAGAGAATTTAAACAAGTTGCCCAAGGTTATATAACTAGTAAGATCACATCAGGATTATGACTGGAATTCGGGCCTATAATATTGCATATCTCAAAAGTCTTGGTCGCTGTGTTCATATTGCCACATTGTGGGAACACAATGGTGATAGTTAACATTTGTCAAGAAGCTACAGTATGCCTGGCTGCGTTTTAAATGCTTTTCTACTTTTTATTATTAGCTAATTAAAATCACACAATAGCCCATTTTAGAGATAGGAAACTCTGGCACTAGTTCCAAATCACAGAACTATTAAGTGGTAGATTTGGGTTTTGGACCAAAGCAGTTTTGGCTTCAGACCGGTGCTTTTAGCCACTAATGTTATATACGATGTTGTGCGTATGTGACTTATTTATTCATTGTCTCATTTCAACCGGTTCCATTCAATGCTAGGCATTTACCTAGGCCTTGGAGCTATAAAGATGAATACACACAAGTGAGGAACTTATCACTCAGTGGACCTTATCGTTGAGTGGAATGCTCACAGATGTGTAAACAAATGATGCTGAGTTCATGTGACAGGTGCCTTAGAGAACTTCACTCTAGGAAAGACAGAGGAATAGAAAAAGATTAATTTTCTCTGTGTGGAATGGAAATTTGTTGCTCTGTAAATGAGAGTTTCAGAGAGAGTTGACTCATAGGACATGGTTGCACTGCAGAAGTAGTGCAAGTTGTGCAAAAGAAGCGACAGGAAAGATAGTGCAACTAGAAGACTCTTCATTTATCTAGAACATGGGGTCAAGGAGTGGGGCTAGGAGGTCAGAAAAGCAGAGATCTGATTGACAGAGGTCTTACATGACTCGGTAAGGTGCCCAGAGGTTTGCCCTTTGTGGTGCCTTTAAAATTCCTTAGGGCACATGCTGCATTTATTTTCTATTTCCATCTTCTACCAGTTATAAGATTATATTTTCCGGTGCCTTTGAGTGCACTGCAAACTGTTGGCGAGAATGAAATCTTTCTGTGACTACTTCGCTGTAGCTGCTTCATTGAGTGACACTCACAAAAACTCAGAGCTCGGTCCAGCAGGCATTTAGGAGGCTCTGTGACCTGAATTTGGAACAGAACTTGACCTAAGGCAGTAAAAGCGCCTATGGAGAGATTGCTGTGAGAGAGCTGCTGAAAGGTCACTGCAGCCCCACTCTCCGCCTCACGGCTGTCCAGCGACCCCCCAAATGGCTTTCTTTGCTGTTTAGCTTCACACTGAGTGTTCAGACCCAACAGACAAAGTGGAAACTTACAGTTTGTGGTTGAAATGCATCATTGGAGCTTTAGCCTGCAGATGTCACAGTGTTAATCTTAGAATGTGCATAACATGGAAAAGTAAGTAAACTTCCCCATCCTGGCTGATGCCATGCTTAGCTCAGTATTTGAGGAGAAACTGCCCTGGCAGCTTGGCCTCTGCCTTGTCCACTGGGCACTAGTGTGACTTCTCCAGTTTCCAAAGCCTTGCCAGACCGTGGATCCATGGGAGAGACGAGGAGGTGTCATCTGCTTCATTGTGATTTCAACAAGATGCCATTGGCTTACTTTTAAAAATATATATATTTTTATTGATTTCAGAGAAGAAGGGAGAGGGAGAAAGAGAGATAGAAACATCAATGATGAGAGAGAATCATTGATTGGCTGCTTCCTGCATGCCTCACATTGGGGATCAAGCCCATAACCCGGGCATGTGTCCTGACTGGGAATCGAACTGTGACCTCCTGATTCTTAGGTTGATGCTCAACCACTGAGCCATACTGGCCAGGCCCATTGACTTCCTTTTGATAAGTAGAGCAATGTAATGAACCCTCTTACTTTTTTCCCAAACTGTAATTCGTTTGTTTCTTGGTAACTGATAATAATATAGTGAATTAGAGAGAATTGTTAATACTAAAACTTAATGGAGAGAAAAGACCAACAGAAGTCAGTAGGACGGGGATTTGAGTGTGAGCTCTTTGCTTCTCTGTTGTACAACCACTGGACACTGCTTACGTTTCAGTTATCTCATCTGTGAAATACTTCCTTTTGCATGTAGTTCATGTGAGGAGTATTCATATTACAGTGATTTGTGAACTGTGAAATACTATGTAATTTAACATATTCCTGTTAATAAATTGACAAAGTCAATAACCTGTTAGCCTCATTAAAAAAATGTTTTCTAAGAGCTCATCTTTTGTTCCTCATTTTGTAAACATGGTCCAGAGTTGGCAAATCATAGAGAGAAAAAAAAATTGTTACGGAACCACCGTGATCTCATCCTGGCAGACACATGACATGTGTCTGCACCTGAAAAGGGGGGATGATAATACCCCAGCAGAGGGCGGTTTTCTAGAGAACGTGAGGTAATTCTTGCAAAGCACTTAGCATGAAACGTGAAACAGAGTATTCAATTAGTGTTAGCACCTGTTTTTATTATCGTTATTACAATACCTACAATCTGTGGGCCCTTGTGGGGACTGTTTAATTTCCTTCTGGGCACAGTGGAGAACCATTGTGGGACCTCAAGCCACTTTTGAATCATTAGTTGATATTCAAAAATTACCTTCATTTTGCACAACTCAAAGTAATGTCTGAGCACGGTGTCTCAAATAGCTGCTCTGCTTTGTTTTCTGTAGAAAATAATGTGACCTTGTATAATCTAGTATAAAAAGTAACTTTAACCAAGATGATTAATATATTATGTACTGAATGGAAGCTGACAACGTAAATGAGTCTTATTAGAAACGATTACAATGTGTTCATAAATTTTTTGATGAATAATCCTCTGCTAACTTATTGGAGCATGTTTAGGTTTTATTGCACAATGGATACATATTTAACACAGGAAAATTACTAAAGAGAAAGAAATATAACATTTCCTACTACTCCACTACACAGAGGTTATTACTGTTATGACTGAGGCATGTATTTTCCTTTGGTTCTGATTTTAAAAATTGCACTCACTTGAATTTGGCCTATGTCTTTAGCATTGAACTATGAGAAGATAAAAGACCAGTCATGAGAACTTACCTTGAATTTAAAAGAAATACAATTAAAAATTTAAAATCCTAATCCCATCTAGAATCCTGTTTGTAGTCCTGTTTAAATATATAATTTAGATGAGAAGTATAGACAATCTTTTGTGGATTGCTTTCCCAAACTGGAATAACCAAATTTCTTTATATTTTACCTTCTTTGCACCACAAGCAATACATCAAAAATTGTCACTTCTGTATGTAGTTTGTAGCTAAATGATCCTGAAATGTCCAAAGGGAGAGCATTCAAAGAATGATTTAAAAGAGGAGAATATCTGAGTTAAATGCATTCTATAAAATGATTCAGAGACATGTCTTGTGAATTCTTGAATGTCACTCTGAATATATTTTGTTTCCATCTCCTATGTTGGTTTTACCCCTATACTCCCCAAAATCTCTGGTAATTATTAGTGACACATTATCATAAATTACTATTTACTCTTTGTTTGATACAGTAGACACTGGAAGAAAATGAACTAGGTAGAATATTATAATGTAATGGTTGAAAAATACATTTTAGAAGTGTGGATACACTACTTGTTCAAGGGCAGCCACAGATGGTTTTGTGCTTACTTTAATTTGTAGATACATGAACAGGCTAAAATGTCACAATGTTATGCTGTCTAGATAAATTAATCATGCCATTCTCTTCTCTAAACTGTTAAAACCAGCCAGGAGTAAATCAAACTTACTTTAATCAAAGCACCTGGATATGAACAATTATTACAGTATTATAATAAAAATGATGATTATATTTATAGCTGAATTCTGTTAAAAGTTAGAGATGTGCAACACAACTAATAAGTAGAAGTAATTCCCATTAACTTGTTTAAGACTATTTCTTCAATTGAATTTAATCCCCAGAAGCTATAAGTAGGATTTCTTTTCTTCCACTTATCCTTTGCATATGACCATGGATCCTAGAGGTGGGGAACATTAACAACCTGTCATCCCAGTTTAACTTTTATCAAAGAGCAATAGAGGATGACACATGGAAACTTGTACTTAAATGGTCCACAGCAGTGCACTAGCTTGCTCAGCTTGTCATGTCAAAGAAAAATTGCACCAGACAAGTTAAACAGGCAAGGAAGACTTTATTCAAGACGACGGCAATAGGGGTCAAGACTACTGAAATAGGGGAGAGAAACTGAACTCAATTTCACTGTAACAAAAGGCAGAGAGTTTATAAGCACTGGGTAAGCTAATGGAAAAGCACTGGAGTATGGTAGGGACAAGTTTCCAATGTGATCAGACCATCTCTGTTTGCTAATTGCCACTTATCTACGTTAGACTCTTCTCTTCCCACAGAGATGAAGGTGATAGAGGTACCCACTATCTTTCCTGATTACATTTAAAAGAGATGGCTTCCAGCAAGAGAATGAAGAAGATTTCATCTCAAAGGGGCAGAGAAAGAATTTACAATTGCAAGTTTTCCAAAGTAAATGATCTAAGGAAAGGGGGGTCAGAGGTCTACAGTCAGGAAGAAGCCTGTATAAGTGTAGTTAAGCTAAGGGGAATGTTAAGGTTGTCTTAGTCAGTCACCAGAAAGATGTTCAAGAAAGCTGCCCCATGATGAATAATCTTTCTTCCCATCTTCCTAGCTCTTTTTATTGATTAATTGATTGATTTGAGGGAAAGAAATAGAGGGAGGGGAGGAAGGAGGGAAGGAGAGAGAGAGAGAGAGAGAGAGAGAGAGAGAGAGAGAGACACTGATTTTTTTTGTTCCATTATTTATGCATTTATTGGTTGCCTCCTATATGTGCCCTGACCTGGTATTAAACCCACAACCTTGGCATATTGGGATGATGCTGTAACCAACTGAGCTATCTGGCCAAGGCTAATCTTCCTAACTCTTGATTGATTTTTATTATTAGGCATGAGATTAGGCAGGTGTGGATATTCCAGAAGGGATGAATTATATGTCTGGGATATGAATAGACACACACATATACACATACAAATGTATACATACATAAAATGTACATATATATATTTCTATCTTTATCTGTCTTTGAGGGGAATGTCTGGATCAGGAATCTCTCTTAGGAAGAGGGCTCTCTGCCCCGTTGGAACAGCGACTCCTATGTAAATAAAATGCCAATTCTTTCTGAAACACATTACTTCAGTGTTAAAAAATGTTATTGAATCTCTTATTGTTATTATTTTTATTAATACTCACTCAAGGATGTGTTTTTATTGCTCTTAGAGAGGGAGAGAAATATATAGAGAAACATTAATTGGTTGCCCCCCCTCTGCACCCCTACTGGGGATCAAACCCACAACCTAGGTAAGTGCCCTGACTGGGAATTGAACCCCCAACCTTTCAGTGTATGGGATGCCACTCTAACCAACTGAGCCACCTGGCCAGGGAACATCTCTTCTGTTTTAATGTAATCATTGCAAAATCAAATGTTTTAATTTCTAGAATAATCAATGTTCTTGTTCCTCACAGTGACCTTTTTCAACACTAAATTTTTTCTTTTCTTTTTTTTTAAATTTATGTTTGTCATTGAAAGTATGACAGATGATACTAATTTTTATTGAACACAATACTTAACTGGAAAGAGAAAGGTCATGTGGCATATAGGTCTAATTGATTTTATTTATCAAATAACATGACACAAGGCTTGGAAAGCACATTTAGGAAGAGAAAGTGATGAAACATTGTGAGCACACAGAAGAAAGAATGGTTAATTTTGACAGTGGATGTAGAGAAAGGCTTCATGGGAGAGGTAGCATTCCGGTGGGTCTTGACGAATGAGAAGATTTTGATAGCATGAAAGACAGAAAAGGACAGCCTAGAGTAGGGTGTCTATAAGCAAAAATAAAAGGTGCAAACTTGTATAGGGTGTTCAAGAGCTGTGAGTAGATGCATTAGAACTGAGATCTTACCTCAAACACTTAATGCTATTCTTTCCTTTCTTCTTCACTCTATTTTATTTTTATTTATCATTTTTCTTTTCTGAATACTACAAACCCCCAACCAATAGGAAATAAAATATGACACATCCTGTTTACTTTAAAACCTCCCCACTTCTCTACCTACGTCACTGAAAACAATGGTACTTCAGGTTTATTGTCTGTATCATCCAGCACTTTCATTTTATATGTAGTTATATTTGCATGACAGTTTAGCTGTGAATTTGGCAGGGCATTTCTGGAGTTACAGTATTTATTTTATGTAACTGGCTTATTTCACCGAACATAATGTGGACTCAATATTTGTTGACCAAATTATTGAAATATAAGTTAAAGTGAAAAAAGCTACCTGAGAGGATCTTTGGGGACCAAAAATATTGACACCCTGATTTGAAGGATACATGTTTACTTGCATATAAAATGTAATTACTTTCACTTCTCCTTTCTTTTATAGACTCAATAAACATTCATTAAACTCCTCATATTCCATGTCACTTCATCAGCCCTGACCTTTAAAGATGAATAAGACAAATAATCTATCTGTGAGGTATGGATTGAAGGAGAGTTTATCACATTTTCAAAAAGGATAACCTTTTGACAAATATTAATTACCCATAATTTGTTAGATATCTTATAATTCCATATGGATGTTTAAGATATCCAAATGAATAAGATTTGGTCTTTCAATCTCATATCCTTTCATGAGAAATCAGAACAATTTAAGTATATCAGCTCTGTTAAATATTGCTATACAATTTCATCTTTCTGCAAAGTCAATTAAGAACAAGGTAAGAATTTTTTGCATTTATTGATCTGATATGTACTGCTGATTCCACAGCAAAGAGGTGTCTATGCTCCAAAGCCTATGATCTCATTATAGAATGAATTATAAATTTATTTCAACTCTTTCCTCAATTATTGATAGAATTCGTGTGGGTGAGAATGGTCTTCAATTTTAAGTAGAGTAAAAGATGATGACTTTGTCCCAGTTTGTCATGTTTTAAACACATGGCTAAATAACTTCGTTGCATTTTAGGTGAATTAAAGTCTTGCACTTCTGCCAGAAAAACTGGAAAAATAGATTACTTTATAATGATGATAATATTTATGTATTCATTCAGCAAATATTATTGAGGGAATAGTATTATCAGATACTGCATTATGCAGACATACTTAAAGTTAAAAAAGACATAACTTCAAAGACCTCACATTCTATTGGGGGAAAGTAATCAGTAAAATAAAATGAAAATACCATACAAAGCAATTAAAAAGGGATGAGCAGGGTATGGTGGAAATACAAAGGAGGAATAATTAAGACTTTATAAGAAAGAAGAGAGTATTCATAGAGAGTTAACATTTGAATTTTTAAGTTAAAATAGAAATTTTCCTGAAAAAGAAAGGAAAAAAAAAAAGGCATTTCAAATAGAGCAAATAGGATGTGAGTGGAGCCTGGGTTACAGGACAGGGAATGTTGCTCTAGGTAAGAGACATGTTAGAACTGGGCAGTGTGGCTCAGGTGGTTGAACATTGACCTGTGAATCAGGAGGTTATGGTTCAATTCCAGGTCAGGGCACATGTGGGCTTGATCCCCAGTAAGGTTGTGCAGGAGGCAGTGGAATAATGATTCTCTCATCATTGATGTTTCTATCACTCTCTCCCTCTCCCTTCCTCTCTGAAATCAATAAAAATACATTAAAGAGAGAGAGACATGTTAGAAGCTGATTGTGAATACCCTTATGTAGCATGATGAAAAGTTTTTCACAGAGTAACAAAAAGTCAAAGAAGGATGATATATAGGTAACTGACAAAGTTATATTCATACTGGGGGCCCAGTGCACAAATTTGTGCACCTTGAAAGGAACTGTGGGCCACGAGGCTGCGGTGGGCACAGGGGTGGGTCTCGGCCCATCCTCTGCACCCCCCCAGCCTTTCCGCCCCAGCACCCTGTCTGCTGGCAGCCCCGCTCCCACTGCTACACTCCCATGGGCTGATGGTGCTGGCCCTGCTCACACCCACTGTTGGTGGGGAGCGGTTGGGGCCGGTGCCAGCAGCAGGTGCAAGTGTTGACTGCTGCCCCGATAACCCCTCAGGAGCAGGGGGAGGTGGAGAAACCCTCAGGGGTGATCAGGGCTGGCAGCCACCATTCCCACCCACTGAAGGTGCTGAGTGATCGGGACCAGTGCCGGGAGCTGGCAGCAGGTGCGAGTGGGGCCGGCACCAGCAGCAGGTGCAAGTGCCAGGTGGGACTGCAGCGTGCAGGAGTAGAGAATTTTCAGTAACCACCAGAGGCTTGCCCCGATAACAGCGACCAGCATCCCGCCATGGTCTGGACCCCCGCTCACCTGCTCCACCATCCCACCACGGCCGATACCCGCCATGTTCCACGTGTGCCCCCTGGTGGTCAGCTCACATCACAGCAACTGGTTGTTAGTTATTCCACCATTTGGTCTACTTGCATATTAGGGTTTAATATATATAGATATTTGGAAAAATCCTCTGATGGTTGAATTGCAAGTAACAATACTCTTGCCAGGCAAGCAGTGGTAGAGATCTGTGTCAAGGCTTTGCAAACGAGAAGGAGAGAATAGGGAATTTCGAAACAGGACTTGATGTGATGGTTGTGAAAAATATAAAAATAATAATAATAATAAATAACCCTTAAACATTTTAGGGAACTGTGATAATATTAATCTATATTGTTAGTGCAGATATGAAATGGAAGAACAGAAATGTTTTTCTTTGTGTTTTCCTTAATTGGTTTTGAAGGAGGTAGAGTGAATGAGGTTGGTGTTGGTCAAGTAAAGTGCATGAGATAAACTAGAATGCTCATGTACATGAAAAACACCAATGTAACCAAGGGTGAAAGCTGATGGACAGCATGTAAGATGTGTGAAGAGGGGTAGGAATTAATAAAAAAGACCAAACAAGAATATTCAAAGAAGTTGGAATAAGAGGATAGAAGAGATTTTTAGAAGCCAACAAAGAAGCAAGCCTCACAGATGACAGGAAGATAGTAGCAGAGATTGCATAAATGCAGTCTGAAAAATAGGCCATTGTAGTTTTTAGTTAAGGAATCATTGTGGACATTTGTATGGCAGTTTCACTTAACTAAAGAGAATGAAAGATAAAATGGTTTAGAGAGTGCATGTAATTGAGAAAGTAGACGTAGAAAGTAGCCTATTCCTTCAAAAAGGATTTTAGTAAATGAAAGGAGGAAGATAAGAAATAAATTGAGGGAGATAGTGAGGCAAGGAGAGATTTTTATTATTTATTCTCGTGTAGAGAAAATTGAGTTTGTTTCTAGGCAGAGGAAAAGGATCAGGGGAGAATTTGGAAGCAGTTCAAATGCTTGGCTTGTCATAGAAAGAACTCCACACCTAAAACTGACCTGGAAAGCTATCTTCTAGTATTCAAATGGAAAATAATACATAAGCCTATTCAAAGGTTGGTATTTTCAGCAGTGTGGATAAATATCTTGTGTGCTCAGCTTTGGAATCTTAAGCAAAGGGACTTCCTCTGGAGGAAATAAAAGCCCATCCATTGGTCTGGACTGCAATGTT